CCTGTGTCCCCTTTGGGGTGCTGGGACCGGAGCCACCACATTTTGGGGTGGGGATAGCGGTGGTCCCCATGCCCCTCCTGGATGGAGGGTTTGGGGCAGGGCCTGATCCTGCCAGGTCCTGGGTGTCCCACAGCCCAGGGGCCACGATGGTCACCGGAGTGGGCTCCAGCCCCCTCTGACCTTGTGGGGAGCCGGAGGACACAGCGTGGTGGCTCTGGAGCCCGTCCAACCCTATGGCTTTTCTTCCTCCCCCTCCCAACTGTAGCTCAGGTCTGGGTGGAGATTTGGGGTTGGGTTGGTGCGGGCGGCCCCAGCCCCTCTCATCATCCCTGGGGCTGCTGGTGGGGAGGGATGACCTGGCAGCACCGTCCCCATCAGGAGATGTGGTCAAACCCTTCCTCTTCCTCCTCTTCCTCCTCCTCCCGTGGCTCTGCTTGGGGCTCGGCCGGGTCCCTTCTGCAGCACCACCATGTCCCGCACCCCTGGGGTGGGTGAGCAGAGTGTGTGCCAGGACCGGTGTGTGCCAGGTGGTGGCTGATGCGGTGGTTGCCATCTCACTCTGGTTCTTGGCCCCCCCAGGGACAAAACCCCTTCGACCTGGAGTTCGACCAGTCCAACCACCTGGAGCCCGTCTTCAACTTCGAGTGTCCGCCCCGTCCCGGTGAGCTGGGGGTGTTGCTGGGGGTACCTTCTTCCCAAGGGGGGCTCCTCCCATCCCCACCCCCGGGATGGCAGCCTTTTGCGCTCCCCCAAAGGCTCAGGGGGGGCTGCCCCCGGGGGTGGCGATGCTGGGGGGAGCGTTGGGCAGAGGGGGGTGACTGACCCCGGGGGCTTTGCTTGGGCACAGACATGCCTTCAAGCCAACCCATCGATATCCCTGACGCCAAGAAAAGGAACAAGAAGAAGAAGCGCTGCAGAGCCACCGACAGCTTCTCCGGCAGGTTCGAAGGTGAGCTGGGGGGCTGCCCAAAGGTTTCCCCTCCCCCCCCCCCCCTGTGGCTCTGCTTGGGGCTCGGCCGGGTCCCTTCTGCAGCACCACCATGTCCCGCACCCCTGGGGTGGGTGAGCAGAGTGTGTGCCAGGACCGGTGTGTGCCAGGTGGCCAGTGGTGGTTGATCTGGTGGTTGCCATCTCACTCCGGTTCTTGGCCCCCGCAGGGACAAAACCCCTTCGACCTGGAGTTCGACCAGTCCAACCACCTGGAGCCCGTCTTCAACTTCGAGTGTCCGCCCCGTCCCGGTGAGCTGGGGGTGTTGCTGGGGGTACCTTCTTCCCAAGGGGGGCTCCTCCCATCCCCACCCCCGGGATGGCAGCCTTTTGCGCTCCCCCAAAGGCTCAGGGGGGGCTGCCCCCGGGGGTGGCGATGCTGGGGGGAGCGTTGGGCAGAGGGGGGTGAC